GCCCGGCCGGCGAGGGGCTCCCAGGGACGCGCCGTGCCGGGATGCTCCCGCACACCGGGATGCTCCCGCGCCGCCCGGCCCCTTCCCTCGCCCCGCGGCGGAAGCCGCCGCTCGCCGCCGTGTTTGCTCTGCGGTCGCGGCCGGCATTTTTGCCTCTCCCCGTCACCCTCGGCGAGGGCGTTTATCTGCGCGCAAGTTCAAGGCTGCTCTCCTGTTTATCTAGCGATCAATAAGGGCCACATATTTCCCACAGCCCCCGGGCCGGCGGGAGAAGGGCCCATTGTGCGCGAGGGGCGCGCGCACCTGGCCCCGCGCGCAACGCGACGCGGCCCCGCGTACCTGCTTGCTGGAGGACATGTTGGTCAAGGTGCTGATGCTGCTCGTGTCGGTCACCACCATGGCCGAGGGGAAGCGGGAGGTGTGCGAATACTGGGGGGGCTCCTGCTTGTGTGGCCCCCGGGCCGGCGGGAGAAGGGCCCATTGTGCGCGAGGGGCGCGCGCACCTGGCCCCGCGCGCAACGCGACGCGGCCCCGCGTACCTGCTTGCTGGAGGACATGTTGGTCAAGGTGCTGATGCTGCTCGTGTCGGTCACCACCATGGCCGAGGGGAAGCGGGAGGTGTGCGAATACTGGGGGGGCTCCTGCTTGTGTGCGTACACTGCGGGAGGCGGGAGAGGAGCCGTCAAGCCGGGGCACGGGCATCGCACGGGGGATTGATGGCATGGGGACGCGGGGAGGACAAAGGCGCCGTGGGAACGTGCCGGAGCGCTGCCGGGCGCGTTGGCCGTGGCACGGAGAAGCGTCCCCAGGGCGGCAGGATGTCCTGAGCATGTGCCCGAGGTCAAAGCTTGCCGGCACAAGGGGTTATTTTATAACCCAAGTGTTTTCTTTTTCCCCCTCCTTCCCACCTCCATTTTGACCAAAGAATCTGCTTTTCGCCCCAGAAGGGGGTTGATGGAGCATGACGGGCACCACGAGGCCGGGGCATGTGGGGAAGCTG